GTTTTGAATGGAACACAGGACTTCAGGCTCTATGCTTCCAGTAGAGTTGGTGTAATTTCTTTTACGAGGTGACGTTCCTAGCTTCATGCTCAACCTTCTATCTTTGACAGGCTTACTAGCAAGGCCTAGGAGTGAGTCGACTGAGAATTGGACCATGCCCTGGCTATCGCAAGTGGTCGGCAGGCATTCTATCACTAAACCACCACCGCTTCGGCAACATAATAAAAAATTGTAATTGAAGTTATACGGGAGATAGCTATATATCTTTAAGACAAAATACATGTTTGACAGGAACAATGGAATCAAATGTGTGCGTCGGCGGTACAGTGGTTAGGACGCCCGCCGACCATGCACATGTTTCTGGGTTCGATCTCCTCCGAAGACACACCCGATATCAATGGTCGACCTGTGAAATTGGGCTGTATAATGAGTGCATTAGTCAAAGATATCGTCAACATTGTCATTCCATCTCAACAAACGCCTAGCTCAAAGTAATCTACAAAAAGAAAAACAACCTGCCAAGGACAAGATGTTTCCGTCTTCTTTGCATTGTAGAAGCCAAGCCATTCAGTTAGAAGAACCAGAACTATGCATACAAAAGAAAATTATTCAACCACTTCTACTACCATGGTAACAACTCTCTTAATTTGACTTAACTCTTGCTGGTATGCTTGTTTTTTTCTACCGACTTAAAACTCTTGCGTAATTTCGCATGTTATTTTGTTTCTATGTACGCCCTGAACACAAACCCTTCATCAAACTATTCGTGTTAATACGTAACTCTTCTTTAATAATCGTTTGTGGAAACTCATCACTTTTATTACTACCCTTTTATATCAACATCCAATTCATTTGAACTTACTAATTGTATTTTCGTTTGGCAAATTTAATGTACACACACATACAAAACAACCATATATATATTTGCGATGAATTCTAAGCCGAGAAGAGACTCTTCGCTGAACTACTGGTATTCTGTCTACCGATATCACATGCTGAAAATTCTATGCTTGTAATAAAAATACAGTGTGGAGTCAAGTTATAATTTTAAAAAAAAAGGTTTTTATAGCTGAATTTGTTAGTTTTATCAAAACAAAGGTGGTATTCACTTGGCTGAAAGGTCCAATATTCACAAGATATCTGAGTAGTGACCATTGTAAACGGAATTACTGTTTGAAAAATCCCTTCTGAAGGATCTGATTACAATATTGATGTTTATTTGGAGTTTTCAAATAACTTTTTGATTATTATCCGTTTTTATCCTAGACTGTATGTCATTCTTGTAACGTTTGCACATTAAATGTTGAATTGATTCTTACTATTTGTCTTTGTCCCCTTTTATTCCCTTATTTTAATGTCTCTGTTTATAGTCGTGCGATATATATATATATATATATATATATTCCGTAGCCTTATACACCAAACGAAACCTGATCCGTTCACTCAGCTAAGAGTTCGCATAATTTGTACTCCGGACACCATAGAAGATGAACTGGACAATCTCAAGAGAATCCTCGTAGAGAATTGTTATCATGAAAGATTGATTGCAAAATCTATGAAACGTAGACCACAAAAGCCGCTCATGCTTAGCGTCCTGAAAAAACTACTCTACATGAACCTTCAATTCAATGGAGATATATCTGCGAAAACAATAAAAAATCGACTGTCGCGCTCACTCAAGAAGACTTTCTTCGCAGCTGAACTACGACTAACTTTCTCCACAAAACCTATGATTCATGTGAACGTGAAGGATAAGCTACCACTGCTGACCTCATCAATGTGTATTTATCAATTCGCCTGCTCGTTTCGAGCCAGGTATGTCGGCCGTACCCAGCGTTCGCTTTTCAAACGTATGACCGAACACTTACTAAAGGAGAAAAACGATGCTCCGCAGCTCCATCTTAGAACATCTGATAGAATCCGGACACCAAGCTACACCCCAAACAAACTTCAAAGTCGTCTACAGAGTAAGAAGTAGTCCTTCTAAAGGTGTAAGAATCAGACTTCTCCAAACTGCAGAAGCAATGGCGATTCACTTGCTAAGTCCTGAACTCTGCATACAGAAGAAGTTCGTTCAATCACTACACTTGCAATGGACTTAATTTATCTTATTGCCCAACAAGGAAATTCTACCTAATCTTTTTTTTATTTTTTGATTACAGCTTGATTCCACACTGTATTTTTGGTACAAGTATGGAATTTCCATTATTATTATTATTATTATTCTGTCTTCTCAATTGTAATATTTTGCATTTTCAACCTTCTTGTTCTCTACCCCCACCCGATTTAATTTCTACACCTCACTACCATTGCTATTGACCTGACCAACGCTCAATTTCTAGTCATTCATTTATATTACGTCATCCAACTTAACTGCTCAATTTCAGTTCTAATTTAAATGGCATTATAATCCACTCCACTTCTACTTAGTCTCTACATGTAATTACCTTTGTTGCTATCCTGACCTAAGTCATCTAACTAACTCAATCTTAATTTAGTTGTTGTCTGTTTAACCTTGTTTCTCTACTAGATCATTCTTTTATTACCTGATCAATTATCCAAACTTGACAAACCTCATGTACACACACACACACACACACAAATAATTATATATAAATGCGATTGTACAGCTATGTGAAAGAATTCGCCAAAAACAGTCTCTTCGCTGAACGTCTTCTCTTTTTAATATGATAATGTATTGTCTTAAGGTGTGATTTTTTCTAAGTGAAGGAAGATCATTCTATGCCCGGACTGTGTACCAAAAGTGTTGGTGTGTGATTCAAAAGGACAGAGTTTTGATCCCATCTTGTTGGAAATATCCTACTTGGTTCTAAGGTACTTCTAACAGTTGAATTTCGGTTAACTAATTATGTTCTATATTACTTGTTTCGTCCTAGAATGTTCTCTTGAATGTATAGTTAGCTGCCTAACGCCACTACCGACGTAACTTTGAGTTTTTGGTGTTATTATTGTTGAATGAAACCACATAGATCTATAGACAAATAACCGTCGTTTTGTTGTCTTAGGAGCATTTTGTGACTGTGCATCTAGCAAGAAGGTTTCCTCAGCTATCCAGTAGGAAGCAGAGATCGGTTTCCTGTGTTCAGACAGCAACCAGACGGTTTTCTCTGTTATAGCAATTGATCTTGCACTAGTTTTGTTCACTTATTTGTAAACCTAAATATTGTAAGTACTTTAAACGTCCTAGGAAAAGGTCTTTTATTTAAAGGAAATAAGTCTCCTAATGACTTACGAATACTATGTAACCAAAATGAAACTATAGTCTGCTTGACGATATTTTCACATATGTTAACGAAATAATTTTGGTTTTTATTACGCGTTTTCAAGTGTGAATATAACTGTCACGTTATCCAGTAAACAGCGGTAATATAAAAATATGGGAGGGAGGGGAGAAGGGAACAATATTAACCATATTAATAATAGCTCATTACTTTTTTTACATTGAAGTGTTTATGAAATGAGACAAAAATGTACTTCTCATTTCCGGGGTTCACACCTTCCATTAAGAGAGAGGGCTTTCATAAAATCATATTTCAACTTTCTAGAGCCCGAGATAGTTAACAAACTTAGAAATACCGACAAAAAAGTCGTCGAAACTTCATCATACTACCCGTGTAACGCAATGACTTTCCCTAGTTTAGTATGTGAATAAAACTAATTTTATACCATTGATTTTTGTTTCAAGGTTATTCTGAAACCGCCGCATAATTACTTGATAGCTAGAGGCTAAAACGATTGACGCCTAATATCTTCTGGGTGCAGGCTATTTGATAATTTCAATAACCACTGTCATACCTATGGCTCCTGGCTAACAGCAACAAGAGACAACAATCAGCCAGCATAAATGAGAGGATTGTGAAAGAAGTAACCTCCTTTACCTACCTACCTATAGGCGGACGAAACTGATGAGGGTATCAAAGTGGGTATCGGGAGTGCACGGCAAGCTTTCATTAATCTCAAGTCTGTGTGGAGGTCAACAGCACTCAGTATGAATATAATAAGATCGGGATTTTCAACCCCAATATGAAGTCAGTGCTACTGTAAGGATCAGATACTTGGAGCGTCATAAAGAGTACCTGAAACAAACTCAGACCTTTATCAACAGCTGTCTTCGCTCAATACTACTTAAGATCAGACGGCTGGCCAGAAAAGATCAGCAACAAGGAGGGATCTCTGGCAATAAACGAACCAACCCGGCAGGAAGAAATGGAGGTGGATTGAATTGGGGCCATACTCTGAGAAAACAAACCACCAAGTGAGTGATATCACACGCCAGGCCATCTCTCGAGTAGAACCCGAATAGGAAGCGGAGAGTTAGTTGGTCGTCGTCAGTGCGAGGGTGACATGAAGGAGGTGTGTGAAGAGGAGATGAAGGCATGTGGGCAGAGGTGGAACCAGGTTAAAACGTTGTCAGAGAACCAAACGTAATGGAAACGTGCAGATGAAGGCCTATGTTCCTCTAGGATTTAAAGGAAACAATAACAATGATAATAACAATAAATACCTAAGACTCATATCATCCCATTGTCCTGAAACCAGTCCACATTAAGAAAACACGAAAAAGAACAATAAGACAGCATAACTTTGAAGCAGCTGATTACTCTTTACATTCTTCTTACACTGGATAATAGCCAAAATCATGTGATATCCCCCTCCGCCGCCCCCCCTCGTCCACACACACACACACATGCACAAACACACCTTTAACGTCTTCTTCAATTACGAAATATATACAAATAAGGCTTTCTGTGATAAGAAGTTTAGGATTTTAATTTTTACAAAATCAAAAGGACACACACACACGCATACGCCTTCTGATTAAACAAGAGGAGAAGACAAAAAGCGAAAGCAAAACTAAATTCTTGTTTGTTTATTCACAAATGATTTATCCAGTGTGGATTGATTCTTCTGGGTTGGTTTAAACAAGACAAAACCAAAAAAGAGAAACTGTACAATATACCATATATATATATATATATATATATATATATATATATATATAAGCATCAAATTATTCAGCAAGCAATAACAAGCAAGCTAATAAAAAGGAACAAACATACACTGAAGGAATTTTATACCAGTATATGGAAATGGACTAGGCAAAACAGACCCTTTGTATTGTCATACATACAAAAACTTTGAAATTCTTTCCCTTTTTCAAATTATCTATGCTTTTATTGTTGTTGTTGTTGTTGGTGTTGTATACATGATGTTCAAACTCTCAGGAATCACGAGTTTTCCGTTTGTTCTCATTTAAATGCAGGAGGTTCGAGTATCATCATGTGTACATTGAACAGTGTAATGCAGGTAATGTGGTGTTAACACATTCTGAATTCAAAAAGATTCTCTTTTCAACTTTGTACCGGGTAGTAAGTAGTGAGTAGGTGAATCACCATACAGATATAACTAACTGATAATTACTCAGTTCTTTGTTTGTTTGTTTTTTTTCAATTACAGTTTAATAGAAAGACATTTTTCCATTGAGTGTTTGTCAGACTTATTGTGTCTACTGTGTTCTCAATGCGTTAGTTATAGCCATACGAAATTTAACACCGACTTGTTGATTTTGGCAATTTTTAGATTACATTAACATTCAAGGTTAAATAAGTCCTTTGGTGAGGTTTAAATGCGTCAAACTAGCAAATTTGGTAAAAAGTGAAAAATTCGAGATATGTTGTTGTGGTTCTTTTTGTTTTTTCTTGTTAAAAAATTTGTATATTCATCTTTTCTATTACGTAATTGGGATCGCTATTCTATTTTTTAATATTATCATTAAATCTCAAACTCTGATTAGTTTTGGACTAGCGACGGCAGTTCTGAGCATTCATATCTAGATCGAGTAGATTTGCACAGTCTTTCCGTTCCATAGCGTAGAATATAGCCTTTAGCTCATTCAAAGCCAGTTCATCACGATGTTGTGCTTCCCACATATTTAGCAGAACTGTTGTTGGACTTGTTTGAGATTTCAGATAAAAGATGTACCTGAAATGTGTTTTGGGGTTTTAAATAAACATTTTGGGATTAGAATTATTATATACACGCAGTGACATATATAAATGGTCATACGTTCATTCATCTGATTTAGACTGCTCTGTAAGCGTTAATTTTGTTGTAATTGAATGTTTCGCGCAGCAAACTTACCTGATCACCTTGAGAATATTGTGGCATTATTCGATTTTACAATCCCAAATCTTAGTGAACAACATGCTTTTAGTACTTGTCAGCATGAGCTATAATTAATTGTTGTATTAACGTGTGTAAGGCTAGGTCCGATTCATTCAGATGAATTAAAAGATTCTGTTGTTGAAATAAGGGAAAGTTTTGTGTAGTTAGACATAAACAGTAATTTACCAACGATAAGCATATCATATAATATAGTTGATTACAACAATTCATTTCACCTCTCCAACAGTCCAGTTCAATATTCAGACCAAAACTTTTAGAAAATCACCAAACTCGTATACACTTCATTTAGTGTGTGTTGATAAATGCTAGCGAAATTTCACTAAGAACTGATTCGTTTTACCGCGTTCATGGAATATTTCAACTGTCCTTAATATCTAAGTGTAAATGTCAGGTTGTTAAATCAGTATTACCGTTGTCACGACTACTACTGTCAGTTATTTTGCTCAAAGTAACACAGTGACTAAACATATCTCTATGAATAGTTTAGTAAAGCAATCGCTTGCTTGATCTGAAAATTATAAGTTTCCGTATAACAGAATCTAAGCACATAAGATCTAAAATCACGGACTTTTTAAACACTCTTGAATTATTCCCATTGTATAATAATAATTGTGCATTCTGATGATATTAGAGATAGTTGGAGGCAATTGGCAAGAAGCCTTGCTTGACCAAGGTTTCGTGCTAGTTGGCACTCACTGGACAGCAAGGCGTATCTGAAACCTCGAGGGAATTCATGTCCCTTCTGAGATTCAAACCTGCGTCATCCAGTGCTGCTGCCGTTACAGTCCTACAGAAGGTCCATCGCGAGACCAAATAGATCAGTGGTAACGTCTCTGAGTGAAGCACTGGGTGATGCTGATTTGAATCTCAGAAGCGACATGAGTTCCTTCAAAGTTGCAGATACGCCTTTCTGACTGCTGATTGCCAACTAACACGAAATCTAGGCCAGGCTGGACTTCCTGCCAATTACCTCCAACTATGCAATATCATCAAATCTATGCGCACCGTGATGGTGAGCGTCGATGGCATAGTGGCTGGAACTCTCGCCGACCATGCACATGACCCGAGGCTCGATCCCCTGCCGACGCACACCTGATATCTATGGTCGGCCTGCAAAATTTGGGCTACCAATATCACATGCTGAAAATTCCATACCTGTACCAAAAAAATACGGTGTGGAATCAAGCTGTAATAAAAAATATAGAATGGTGGCCACATTGCCAACATGACTGATAGAATTCAGTCTGCACCAAAGAAAGGACTAGACACGTCGCACTAGTTACTAGTGTTCAATCAAAAATTATGCATTCTATTAGATGACGGTCAACGTATTAATAAATACACTAATTGTTTGTGCTGATCACGAGGAAGGAGTTCATTTAAGCTGCTTTCTTATGATCAAATTATCCATTCCTGTTCCAACCAGATTAAACTATTTCTACAGAAATATTGAAAAAATGTCCAATATCCCAGTTAAATGAAATATGCTTGTCAAAGTTGACTGAATTTTAAAAGAAAACTCATGGACAGCACTTAAATAACGTTGATCGGCATAACAAAGAATGATAATCTGAAACTCATTGTTAATCGAAATTTACAGGGTTATTATTAAAATGATTACAATAGTGACTTTCTAAGTCAATTTAAATTCCCAAAGTGGGAGACTGTCCTCTGAAGGCATTAGACGTTTGTCACAACAGTTTTGTAGCCTAATCAGCTAGTGCAGTAGCGATATTTTCTTTTCTAATTTAGTAGACAAAACATATCATTTAGGGATGAATGCTGCTCATTCTCCACGACAGCAGGAGCACAATATCCTTCACATAAATCCTATTATCCGAAATGATCAGAAGTTTAGTTTACTGTAATTGAATAAAATTGTAAACTAAGATGAAAAAATCCACGTGTATAGTGAAAGAAAGTAACTCACTTCTCCATGCCGATATGCTTTGCCAGTTTCTGCCAGTCACTGTCTCGACCATCCAGCATTTTACAAAGTCTTTGACTAACAACTACAGGCAGCCTGAATTCCCATATCCCAAAAAAGTAAACAAGTAAAACAGAAAATGAAATGATGCTAAAATCGAATTGTTGATCAGAATAATAGAAGCGTGTTTTTTTCGAACACTGGTAAGAAAGAAGAAAAGGGTAGAATCGTGCATTTCCAAAAAATCTGTTCAGTCATAAACACTCACAGAAGTGTTTATTACTCATTGAACACAGATGAATGTGCAAATACACACACAGCATACTGTCCATTAGTGAATACATATGTACATACATATATATAAACAGAAATGTCTGTATATAAGCTGAAATACTATATATATATACATAGATATTGAAGAAAGCTTAGGTAAATTATATGCCTACTGAAATAAGAATGCAATGTATAAACACCCTCAATATTTGTTTTTTGTTCAATTTCGTTCGTTTCATCCTATCAACCCATATGTCATTTGACTCCACATGGTGTAATGTAACATTCTGATCGAGCTATGAGTGTGTGTGTGTGCGTATATGTGCAAGTTGTTCAATTTTTATTTGAAGTCTTATACATTTATCAAGCAATAATATCAGAAACACCTAGGAAAATAATATCACAGTTATATATAATCGCCTCCTGTAGAGATGATATAACATGTAATCTAAACGTTTATAACATTGCTGTTACATATATGTATCTTCTGTCTTCTTATTTCCTTCAATGAACACAATATGAAAACAAATGTCCCAGCTAAACAATTCTGTCGATATACAACTTGAGAGGTGTGTAACTAATGTACAAGACAGACTGGACGGATCGCACTGTCAAGTCATATATATATATATATATATATATATATATATATATATATATATATATATATATATATATATGCATCAGTCATTTTAAATCAATGTAACAAGCATGCGATTGTAGTGTGGTTTCGTAATGCCATTCTAAAAAAAATATCACTTTCCTACGTATGATCAAATGAGTATTTACTTTCGGAAATCTATAGACGAAAATAAACAAATTTGCAGTAAAATCAATGAGGACAGGATGTTTCAGGTGAACATAAAGAAGACGAATGTGATGAAGAAATCCAACCACCACCACCGCCACCAATAACAACAAACATCGATGACTATCATCCGGAGAAATCTGAAGGAGGTGCTTCTATATGGTTCAGGGACTGGGCGTGTGTCTACAAAAAGCATTTCCAACACGCTGGAGATTTTCATCAACAGATACCTTCACCAGCTGAAAATTAGATGCTTCGGTAAGAAGGGTAGGGCAAAGAGGAACTCTGGCAATGAATCAGCCAAGGACTAATCACCTAACGAGCACACGCGTTAAGGCCCCCGAATGGAAAGTGGATAGTAAATGACGAGCTGATCGTGTGTCTGAGGGGGACACAAAAGAGGCTGTGTGAATAGGAGATGACAACCTATGTGTAATAGTGGAGTAGACTAAAGAGCACTGCAGAGAACAGGATTAAGTGCAGATACGCGGTTGAGGCCTTATACTCCCCACACGGAATCTGAGCCCACAATAACAACAAGACGGAGTGTAACATAAAAGAATACATTAAATCTAGAGCAACCACAACTTCACTTTTTCGCAAAATTTATACACCGAGTACTAAGCGCTGTTCGACTCCAAAATAAAAAGTTAAACAGGCAATGAAATATGCATCAGTGAATCCGGAAAGACGGACAAAAGGACTTCACACGCCTTATTACTATTAAGTAACCTTCTCTGATTCTTGATAAGTTAGGGAAGTAGAAGGCACAGCATCTACCCAATAGAACAGTTTAGGTATACCAAGGCATCAATTATTGGTACGAATTATTGTGGTACATATTCCGTTTTGCATCATTTTTAGTTCGTTAACGTTGTTACAATGACTAAATCAGTCAGTCAGTCTATTTTCACTTTTGATTGAGTGTTTAGGCGTGTACCTCTGGAACACTTACTGTTGTATTCTTAATAGAAGTGTGTAAAAAACATTCTTAAGGCAAAAGAAAAAGAAACAAACTTTATCATATAAATTTATTTATTTACTCGATTGTAATTTAATTACTGAACCTATTTTTGCCATGGAAAATCGATTCAAATAACTAAAGCTTTATTCACGATAATAATGAATTACATACAAAACAAGTGATCCCTTGGGGAAAAAACTATCTGTAAGTGAAAGATAAATAAACTATAACTGAGGGAACAACAGTGTGTGTATCCAATATGTGTTTTTTTGGTTTGAATAAATCACTTTTCAAGGTAATAACTATCAGGAGAAGAAAAGATGATGAATTTTGATTGAATTGACTCAGTTTGTGCCTTGTAACCCATTCCATTCATTAGTTATCATAATTACCCAATTACATGTTCAAGTGAGTCTATCTATCTAACCTCTAGGGTTCACATTAATGTAAAATAGAATAGTGAGATTCTTGGGAGGCAGCTGTTGGATTTCCAGGATATATCAGTCAGCTTTTCAGTGTTATCCATTTTATTCCAGCTGTCAAACAAACATATAGAGGGTCTACAAGAGAAAACCAACGAGTTGGCAGAAGCAGTAGCGAAGACACAATTTTTCAGGTGAACATAAGAAAGACAGAAGTGATGAAGATACCCAACTGGTGACGACAACATCAACCACAAATCACCATCAGTGGAATAAATCTGTAGGAGGTCACCTCTTTATCTTATCAAGACGGAACTGTTTCAACTACTGGCAGCACAGATGAGGATGGCAGTGGAGAGATTAGTGTGGAAATCTGCTGTAACTTAGCATGAAGAATATGACTGGGATTTTCAAAACTAACTTCAAGTCAGTCAGTGCGCTTCAAGAAGCTAGTAGGCCAAGAGAAGCATTTTCAACAGGCTAAAGACTTTCATCAGAAGATGTCTTCTCTACCTCCATACTGAAGATCATATATTCAGAAAGTATAAGCAACAGGACTTCTGGTAAGAAACTATTGTCAAAATAAACATGCTGATGGAAATGTAGATGGACTGGACACACACTGAAGAGACCGCTGAGTGACATCACGTGTCAGGCAGGTCTTTGAGTACAACCCAAAATAGAAATGACTAGCTGGTAGTGGGTCCAAGAGTGATATGGAGGAGATGAGAGATCGTTAGCAGTCGTGGAGCCAGCTGAAGAGGACTACTGTTGGTAACGTCAGAAATAGAAATACTGTTTTTTATTAGAATGTAAAAGCATGAACCGTCCGCAGAACTTCTTCTCATCAATCTGTGAGTGTATATCAGTTCCCTGAACTACTAACGATGAACTAAACATCCAGTGAAATTCGTCCATGCTTACCTTCGCCTTAGCTTTAATCCCGTAAATTAGCTGAATATTAAAAATGTAACAGTTAAACACTTATTCCTTTGAAGAGTATAGTCTGTGCTTCCAGAAACTCAACTAAACTTCAAACTAATAGAACAGTATCATCTCGAGAAGAGATACGTTAAATATTTGTGTTTTCCGTGAGTGTGCAAATAAAGCACTCAAGATTGCTATTTGCCTCATGCAGCCTAGCCAGTTTGTATCAAATAGATAACTACTTTGGATCCCGATCACAACTTAGGATCCTGTTAACCTGCCTTTTTCAAAACACCAATGACTATATCTATACTGTATCAGTAAGTTTAGTGACAGAGAGGATTTATGTTTATTGTATGCGGCCCACTAAATTTTGATTTAACAGCAGTAAATGCTGCTGTTTACAGACTACACGAAGAGAATGAAGACGAGTTCACCCAAGAAGAAAAATAAACAAATAAATAAATAAAAATAGATTATTTGCACGCTTACCTGTAGGAAATCGGTGAGTAGTGAGCTTCTGAATTGCCATCTTCAGAATTGGAAAACATTGTTCTCGACTGTCCATATTTCAGTTGAGAGAAATTCAAATTCTGTGGAGTTATTATATTTTGAAAAGAAAAAATATACCAGAATCGTAAATCTGAGTAGAAATCTACTTTTATCTGCTATGTAGCAAATTTAATATACTACCATAAATTCAAAAGTTACAGTGCAGTCGATTCATGTTATTTGTTAAATATCAGAGGTTAAACAGCTTGAGTTTTATTCTGAGAAATGTCACACTTGAAGGCCAACTGTCTATCACAAGTTACGGAATACAGTTTTGTTCCTCAATGGCAACTTGATATATTCTGGTTCTGAGAGGAAAACACAGAACGATTGGACACATGTTGATGAAGAGACCGTTAGGTGGTATCCTGTTCCAGGCAATTGCTCAAGTGGAGCTAGAACGACAAGTCTGACATGGATTGGACAGTGACCTAGAAGAGATTGTGTGAGGGGGAAATGAGAGCTTATGGGCAGTCATGGAACCAACTAAACAGGACTGCAGGGAACGGGATGGAACGGAGATGTTCTGTGGAACCTGTGTGTTCAGGTGAGAATATGATGTAATAATGCATACTATGGATTATTATTATTTCCCTTAATTCTTAAAGGAGCATAGGGCTTCAGCCACGCGTCGCCATTGCGTTCCGTTCTCTGCTAGAGTCTTCATCTGCCTCCAAGTCTGTCAACACGTCTACATCTCTTCTTCGCATGACCTCCTCCAAATCACCCTTGCACTGACGACCAACTCGCCGCCCGCTTCCCTTTCGGGTTTCACTCGAGCAATGGCTTTTTGTTGCACAATTGGTTCCTGGTTGGTTCACTCACAGAGATCCAGCTCTGTTGCTGATGTTTTCTGGCCGGCCATCTGATCTTCAGTAGTATTGAGCGAAGACAACTGTTAATGAAAGTCTGTAGTTTGTTTGAGGTGCTCTTTATTATGCGCAGTGCAAGTCTCTGATCCGTATGGTAAGTAGCACTGACTTTACATTGGAGTTGAAAGTCAGGATCTTATTTTTGATGCTAAGCAGTGATGTCGACCTCCACACAGACTTGGTGAGAGTAATGAAAGCTTGTCTTGCTTTTCTGATTCTGACTCTGATATCCTCATCAATTCCGTCTGCGTGTATTTGAAACGATGCTTCCCAGGTAGGCAGGTAGCTAGGTAAAGGAGGTTGTAACTTTCCTCCCATTTATCCTGGCTGATTGTTGTCTGTTGTTGTCGCTGCTGTTGTTCTCAACACCTGTTAATTGCGTGAAACATCTGACTATCAAAGTATATAACGATAAGTGAATTCGAAAATACATTATTGTTGTTCAATTTTCTGAAGCATGTCTCCTCTCACTTGTATGTTCACTTTGAAATTTTCTCATTCCTTTATTGATCTTCTTTCTATCCAGTGTAATTTATCTTTTCATTCATTAACCGGAAGTGAATGTTTCGGGGAAAAGAAGACATTCTAGTTCGCTATTATTATCCGACATATATTTTGATAAAATCACTCCATTGTCATTCATTATAATAAAAAAAATGATGAATTGTGCTTATTTACCTCAAATTTTTGACTTGAAATTTCCAAAATTTGTCCTTGTAACTGTGCATTTTCTTGATAAACAATAATTTTACAAGAAACTGTTGCTTGACGTGGATCCAAATGTTCCAATGAAAATGCACAGTGTAGTGTTGACATCTGTGTACCATTCCAGATATGTCGGAAGGGTATCTCCTACATGAATGAAAGACAAGTAGAAGGAAGTTTAACAGCTGGAAAATAGGCTGCATGCGATAAAATTACTAAGATGGAAATTCCCTTTACCATGAAGTTCGAATATTTTGACTTAATATGTAACATAGATATGTTAAAGTTCGACGGATTGTTTTTATTCCTTCAAGTTCCCAGTGGAACATAGGGCTTCAAGCTAGAGGCTTGAAGTATCTGTGGCAGTGTTTAGTTTTGATAGGTTGGGTTTGCTAGCCTCATGCTCAACCTTCCCTCTTTACCAGCTTCAATTTCTTGCTTAGCAAGGTAAAGGAGTGCGTCGGTCGCGGTCGAACCCCGGACCATGTGCATGGTCGGCGAGGGTCCTAACCGTTGAGGCACTCCTCCAATTTCATTCAAGCTGAAGGAAACCTTTTATTCTATGGCAAAAAGTAAATCCTGTTAGCTTACTTATATATTTACATCAGTAGTGTTTGTCAGTTTATATATTGGGGGCGTCACGAAAAGCATTTCCAAAGAGGTTCAGTCTTAATGCATACTGAAGATGACATGACTGGTTGGCCAGATGGAACTACCTACAGGAAACTCTGGGAATGAACGAACTAAGAACTTATCGCTTAGCAAATCTGTAGAGGAAGTCGGAGATGGATCTAACGCACTCTGAGGAGACCATCGAATGACATCGCTGGGACACGACAAGTTTGCCTTGGGTCCGAGTGTAACATATAAAAGGTCATATGAAGAGGAGAAGACAGACTATTGGCAATCTTGGATCCATCTTAGGAGGACCGTTGAAAGCAAGAAAAAATATCAAGCTGGGTAGCTAATGTGATGATAAACCGATGGCTAATTGACATCCCTGCATGCAACTGCTGAGCATTGCGTGTGAAATGGTTCTTAGCTTAAATTAGTGATCACGGACATTTTGATTTAAATAAAGGACTTCTACAAACTGCAAACGGAAAAAGTTTATACTATGACTCATCGGGAATATGACATTGTTATGGCTGTTATAATAATAATTATGATTCTCTTAATTGTCACTAATACCATCATCATATAATCAAAATGGGAACAATTACTTGTTATCTGTGCATCAGCACACAAAATAAAGCCATACACATGTTGCTAAAATCACCATTTATGTGAGTCAGGATACCCAGCCTAGTAGAATACTTCAAACAATGGTATCATGATCAACTCAAAATAATGACACATTTCGCAGTGGAGCTGTCAGTGTCACATGGGCAGGCTAGACAAACAAACACAGATGAATATCTTGACAGAAAGGCTTCAATGCTAAATTACTTTGTTGTATTCCAAAATCATAATAATAATAATAGTAATAATTAGTATTATTGTTATTCTAACGGTTTGATAAAGAAAAAGATATTTACAGCTTGGCTATAATGGCCAGGCGGATTATCTACAACGGATATACACCCCTGTTTATATATATATATATATATATATATATATATATATATATATATATATCGAAAAGTACATTAGGACAGAACGAATGTATACATCTCACTAAATGACTGTGTGATAAATATTATGGACTTAAATGGCAGATAGTAAATTGCGTTTTTATCATGAGTACAAATCACCACTCAGAACTGTATTCTAATGATATTGTCCTTCATACGAGTGTATATCGTTATTGTGTGTGTGTGTGTGTGACTCAGTTAATTATCTTATCAAGATAGTCAGTCAGCCAGTCAACCAGTCAGTCAGTTAGTCACTCAACCTTAGAGAAACACTGTTTGAAACTAACAATTATCAGTTCGTCTATTGTTTGTGATGTTTCTGTTTATATACTACACACATCTGCGTTCTACTTTCGATAATTGATGTCTATTAACAAAGCGAAACAATTAAAATAAAATAAATGCAGTACACAGTCATCAAAGTTGAGTTAAGCACTAGTATAGTAATTACACTTTCTCTTTTTGTTACTCATCCCGTTAACACCCTCAGCGTAAGTGTGTGTTGCATTTCAAAGGCATTAAAGTACAAACTAAAGAATTATGCGAGGGAAGAAGAGTCAGTGTTTTCGTGTTTTAGTATGCCGAGATAAATAGTTCAGAGGTAGTTTAGGTACCCGCATTCTTTATATATAAATGTTAGCTGGTTAAATTTAAATAATTTGTACTTTAAAAGATATTTACAGCTTGGCTATAATAGTCAGGCGGGTTTATCTACAACGGAGGTCAACAGCACTCAGCATCAAAAATAACATCCGGATTTCCTACTCCAATGTGAAGCCAGTGCTACTCACTATAACGGATCAGAGACTTGCAGTGCGCGTCATAAACAGCATGTCAAACAAACTACAGACCTTCATCAACAGCTGTTCTCGCTCAACACCAATCAAGATCAGATGGTCAGAAAAGATCAGCAACATAGTGGAAATACTGCTTTGTTTCAAGCATCTTTCCAACACGATATGTGGTGCAAGGAGTTGAATCAATTTCAGTAGAAAATAAATGAGAATCATGAAATATAGGACGGACGTTTTCTCGATTACTGAAGCCTTTGAACAGATCTACTCATTGGTCAATATTTTCTAACTTGGATCGATTTGATTTCTGCTCTAGCAATCATAGTCTCTCTTATTTATAATAGCTTCTAAAGACCACTCTCTAAACTATTCGCTAGTATAAACTAGGCTGCAGAGTTTGTGTTAAAATGAATGAAATATAAAAAACGATTCTTATTAGATATCTTTATCTACCGGGGATAAAGTTCAAATTGGTTTGATTGGATCAGTTTCATGAATTTTGAACTGGTACACTTTTTAATAAACGACTTACCTATTGATGAATACATTCGCGAAGATTTGCTTTATATGCCGTAGGAAATAAACAGTACTAATGAATTTCATATGAATTTTAAAAGTTTAGATACTGAAAAACAGAAGAATGTTTGTCACCGTGATATTGCTAGTGATTAGCAGAAGCTTAGATTTTGTTAAATGCAGGCAATACAAGCAATCAATGTGTGTCGGTGGCACTGCGTTAGAATGTTCATCGGCCACGCACGTGGTTCAGGGTTCGATCCCCGACCACCGACGAACTCCTTTACCTCGCTAAGCCAGTAATAAGACTGGTGAACGGGGGAGGTTGGGCATGAGGCTAGTAACCCCATCCCGTAAAAAGTAAACACTGCTACCGAAACCTTCAAGCCTTTAGCTTGAAGCCTTATGTTCCAGTAGGAACTTGAAGGAATAAATAATTAATAATAATGTCAACAGGCTGAATTATCTGAAACATATTATGTAAATACACACATACCTGCGACTTCGTCTGCAGTCGACTTCTCCATCCGTTAGAAATATCTTCAATATAAAAGCATAGTCCTCCACCGTTATCCTTGAATAGTAAAGACTTTGGATTGTCCAGTAACTTGCCTTCCAGTCTTCTTTCCACGCTTAAAACATGCTCTAAAGCATCTTTCGTATCAGCAAGAACATAAACTCTTATATTATAATCGATTGTAGGAGTTAAGGGTCCAGCAAATGCAGCAAGCTTCAACATTTTCGTCGCTGGTTGTAAATCAGACAAAAATCCACTGTCCTGAGAACTATCTGTCATAACATTGTTATTATTATTATTACTATTATTTGTGCTGTTAGTAATTTTCATTCTCTGCAAACCATTTCCACTCACACCATTAGATGAATCATGAAATTCTGTATGACTAGAACTTTTGTTGTGAATATGACTGAATGGAAACCGGTTGGCGCCAAGGAATTTCTGTGTTTCACCGACCAAGCAGTAGCGTTGTGCAACATCCGTCATTAAGTGTGCCATATTAAAGTCAAGATGACACATTAAATTACTGCTGTTCGACTCATAACCGATTATACCCACCTCCTAGAAGTAACAGATGAAATTTAAAGAAAAAACCCACTATGGAGGAGGATAATTGTTTAAAATTCAGATAATTTGTACGACATAAACAGTCACTGTATAATCAGCTAAGCAGCAAGAGTACACAACACAAGTTAATTACTTAAAATTAGCAAATCTATTACTAGAACCATGTGAGAAAGGCACAAGAATACTGAATTAATCGGTTGTACAGCTGCCAATTAGGCGAGTAGAACTTGAAACAAGATATTAAGCAGAGACAACACGCTGACAAAAAATGCGACTCTCCACTTGTGCATGCATATATTACTACTGAGCATACACGTATGACTAGTGTACTAAGTTGTTATTGTTATTGAGATGATATTTCTTCATGTTGTCACCGGCATCTCTCCTGTCAAGAACAGATCAAATTACTTCTAGGATATTATTGTGATTATTGTTATTATTATATTATTCTGTAAGGATGAATAAATGATTAGACTGTCAGTTGTTTGTATTTGTCAACGCAGTTTTCTTTTCTTTTTTTTATTTCTTTATTTTGCTTCTATCATTTCCATGATGTAGATAGACATTTACAGGGAGAGATAAAAAAACAGGGACGGGGGGTGGGGGTGGGAGAAAGAGTATATGTGAGACTAAGACTATGGTGTAATTTGGCTCACTGCTTTCATCGTCAGGGTGGTGAAGCATAAATGTCATTGTAGTAATGTTAGATGTGTAAAAACAAAAGAAGAAAATACGTCACATGCCAGTGATTATTATCAGTGTATGTAGGTAGACGGGGTAGCAATATGCAGGGGTTATGCATTTCAGAGAGAATTAATTCTCTTCTCTTTTCTTTTCTGATGAAAATGTCGTTTTACTTGTTCACAGTTAAACTACTACTACTACTACTACTAATCTGATTAAAGACTAACTCTGAATAATTTAGAAGAAACATAGTCATTCTGATAAATTAATTACTCCCTTTTTTTTTATGTTTGTTTGTTGATGTACAAAGATGATAAACAGAAGCTAACAGCATTTCCCCTTCACTGTCACAAATTAAACTGAAGTTGGTATATTCTGAACACTTGTCAAAAACATCACCTATGCATAGCTACCTGTTTTAGCAGAAAGTTAGGGTTTCACCTAAATGTGTATTTTGTAGACAGGAAAAAATTATAAAATGATAACAGAGAGGACCATTAAAAATAAGAATCATTGTAAGTTCATTAGTGTCAAAAGAAGTTGTAATAGGATTTAAGCTAAGCTTTTCTGTATATGCCACCGATGAGGAATGCGTTAGATTTTAACGTAACGAATGAATCAGATCAACAACTTCCTAATTTTATAGTTTATCACCAGGGAGTACTGACAGCATTTTCGACCTAGTTCGGGACTCTTTAGCAGTAAGCAACTGTGAACACACCGACTGGCTGAATGGTCAGTAAGCTCTCCACTTGAGCTAAAGTACCCAGGTACGATCCTGAGTAGGATCATGACTGTGAACTGTTGAAGAGCCGCGGAATAGGATTAAACAATTGTCCAATACCCCTTAGTTTGTGACGGTTCTCCAAATGATTTCTACTTAATCCGTGAAAATACCTAACGGAATTGTTTAGGTAATTTCGCGATTTGATATATTTTTTATTGTTGTTTATTAGAACCACAGATTTTGTTGCAAACAACTGTTTATTTTTGCTTTCATCAGGACATTTTCGGGCTGTATTTAATTCAGTAACTTTTGGTTAGCTACAAAGAAGTAGGTAATGATCGGTTTCCAGCCTTCAAACCACAACATGTCCGTTTCAGTCACTCCATTCCTACGTTTGCTTGACAGTATAGTTGAACACCCTCTAATTCCGGGGTGAAGACTATGAGTAAAGAAACTAGAAGCCGTAATGTCAATTTTATCCTTGTCAGACTGATGAAATGCATTTTGAGAAGATGGAGGATTCCATCATTTATTTTTATTTTTTTATTTTTTTTTTGATTTACAGATTGATTCCACACTGTATTTTCGGTACAAGTATGGAATTTTCAGCATGGATATCGGTAGGCCGAATTTTTGCAGGCCGACCATAGATATCAGGTGTGCGTCGGTGCGGGCTCGAACCCCGGACCATGTGAATAGTCAGCGAGAGTCCTAACCATTGTTCCACCGACGCACACTGACATCAGTTAGAGAACTATTGGAAAACCACCTGGGAGTACTAAACAGCTGTTTCGCCAGCCTAATTTGGGAATCTTCAGCAGTAGGCACCCACCGGAGTACAAACCCTGGACCTTCCGGTTACAAGGCAAGCTTTTAGGGCACTAAGCCATTGAGACCCTATCCAATGGCCTATGAATTCTAACTTTCGCCAATTCATGGCCCATTGGATTGGGTCCCAGTTGCCTAATGGTCTACAAGCTATCCTTGTAACCAGATGGCCCTGGGTTCGGACCCCGGTGGGTCGTGCTGCTGAAGAGTCCCTAGTACCAGTCCAATACTCTCAATTGTTTTTCCAATGGTTCTGTAACCAACCTCAGCTCATGATGAAGTCCTCCAATCAGTCAAACAAAATCCATACAAAAATCAATACTTAATAATCTGAGAAGATTCAGTAATGTGTGTCTTCTTTGGATACAAGATGCCATCTTAAAATGAATCTTTATTAAAGGAATAATTGTTATGCTAAGGAATCTCTTTCTTACCTGCCAAGTGAAATTGTCAAGATTTGATGATAATCCATTGTAAGTTGATTTATAGCCATTTGTATTTGATGCATTCAAATTGTTAGATGAACGAGTAGAATGTGGTCCTAATGCTAAAATACGGATAAGCCAACTGCTTTGATTCAATGCTGCACAATGAGGAAATGATAAAAGTATGGGTTTTAAAAAATGTAAATCCACTGGTCCAAATTGAACAACAGGACTTAGTAAGGTTTGATGATCTGTACGGAATCAAGATAAAAAGAACAAAAGTTGCACATTTCAATGAATATTCAAAAAGTTTAAAGAAACACCTCAGTAATAATAATAATAATAATACATAATAAAATTAAAATAAACAGTGTTCATTTCAGAATTAGTTAGATAACAATAAGCGATATATTCACAGACTTCGCTGTTTATAGTTAACGTCACAGATTAGGTTTCAAAAGTTGAGATAAGGTGAAACTTGACACTATTATTATTATTTATTTGAGTCCCGAGTGGAACAATGGGCTTCCGCAGTACATCTCAATTTTACCGTGGTCGTTGAAGTCCTCTTCAGCTAGCCCAATGGTTGCCCATAAGGTTTCATTTCCTCCTCATACAGACCCCTTGATATCACCCTCAGATACATGCTCAACTAGTCATTTTCATTTGGACTCTACTCAAGAGGTGGCCCAGAGTGCGGTGTCATTCGATAGTCTCCTCAGTATGTGTCCGATCCATCTCTGTTTCTTTTTTTTGACTAATAGGCTCTTTGTTGATTGGTTGGTTCCCAGAGTTCCTTGTAACTAACTCTTACTGTTCGGCCGGCCATCTGATCTTCAGAATGCAGTATGTGAAGGCAGTTCTTGATAAGAGACTGAAGGAGGCAACAGAGCGGTGAAGCTCTGACACACCTTTCCGATTCTGGTTTCGACGTCCTCAGAGTGCTGCCAAGCCAGATAAGACAAAGAAGTGACCTATTTCAAATTTCTTCCGTTGATGGTGATTAATGCTTGATGTTATATTTAACGACTATTCCATTAAAACTACAGAAAGTGACAGACTAAGTGCTCTCTGATTTTCACGTATTGGTTTTTGGGGATTTGATTGATTGGTTACAGGATTTCATCGTCCTACAAACCATCCCTACAGACCAATACGTGAATATCAATGAGACGCTCACTAGCGACTTGACCTATTCAGGTAGTTAGGTGGGTTTTAGTGAGAAGTCGTGACCAGTAGGATGCAGCAGGTTGGGTGTGAGGAAAAATACTTGCCGAAAACACCGGCCAGCGGTCGCGCCATATCGTGAATTGACACAAGTTAGAATTCATGGGCCGCTGGATCGCGTCCCAGGGGCTTAATGGTCTACAAGCTAGCTCACCTTGTAACCAGAAGGTCCTGGGTTTGAATCATGGCGGTAGATGCGTACTACGGAAGAGTCCCGAGCACTAGGACGAAACGGCCGTCCAGTAATCCCAGGACTTCCAATGTTTCTCTGAGTGATGTCAGCTAATGATGAAATCCTATACCCTCTGATTGTCAGGTTGTTTCTATTAGTTTTGAAGTATACATATTCAAACAGCAAACTTGTCGAGTTTACTGTCTTCCCTTAAATATTTCTAATACTAAGCATCTTTGTTAGTGTCGCATATCAAATAGAATGCACGGTTTTGTTGGCTACGGGAATCTTTCAAACGCGATGGATGAGAAAATAATTTGACTAGTGCTATAACTTAACTGAGTATTAGAACAAAACTTAGCTGAGTCATCTCATATAACTGATGATATTTACAGGAAATCAAGACAAATCATCATCTAATTATAACCTAGGTAATCTCCATTTTAACGTGGTTTTCCGAAAAGATAATGGATATTTTCTAAGATCCTACCCATACTTACAGAGTCTGCTCTGTCAGTTAGCAGAGAAACAGTTATTTATGTATCAATCAACATTATGGTTTCCTTGTCGTAATCTTAATTACGTGTCTCCTGGAAATAACATGCTTATTTCGGTTGATAGTGACTACCGGTAGAATCTAGAATGCTCATTTTCTCCTGACTAACTGGCTATCTCGGTAGGACTCGAAACCCGGACCCATCATTCCAAACACCAGAGTATTAACGATTAGACCTTGTTGGGCTACGAGGACCACTTCTTGTGCAATGAGGATAAGTCATCATTTTGTTTTTGTTCTCCATATTGGTTGATTATTTCCGACCGAAATATTTGGTCTCTCTCAACGTGTCGGTTCCTAGTACGGACGATTCGATGACACGATATAGCTCTCGCTGTCCATGCTGTCTAGTGGATAACGCTTTGGTTTTTGAACTGAAGGGTACCGGAACTAGAGTCTGAATGAGAACGTCATCACTCACAGTGAACTTCACGAACATCCAAATGAAATGCGGGTCTCAAATAGGACGAAATATGCATCCTGAGTTCCACTGCTAGTCACTGCTAACCAAAATAACTTCACGTTAATCCTCAGACACCATCGGGACGTTCGTAATAAGAGTCAGTATGTCAGCAGAAACTGAGCGTCTCTGTCCAACGTTATCAATCAACGGAAAATGCAAATTAGCCGAAAGAAACAAATAACGTGCTTAGTCCGTCAATATGTACGGAATCAGTATACACACATCAAAAGCCTCCAAAGCCTCAGGATGGTCGGGGGTGGGTGTCTTGCGCTGCGGGCTAGCCACCCCTCCGTACACCTCTTGAAATGCTCCCATATGACCGGGCGTCTTACATAGCCTCTCCTGAGGAAGTCCTACTCACTGCCTTCACGTGGCGGAGGTGTTTCTCACCAAAGTGAGAGGGCGAAAGCGGATGCCCGGCGCTCTCCACCGGGTTGACTGTCCATTGGATGACAGTCTAGGGGAGATGGCTAAACCCTGATTCCAAACCTCCAACGACTGGCGTATGAAGCTCACCGGCAGACGTATGGACAAAGGGCTTGTTGGATGTCCTGGATGTCTGGCCCCATTCAAAAAGGCGTATGAACCGAACTCCGGTCACCGGCTTCCAGTGGATAGTGGACTCCTTACTCCACTCCTACTGCCTTGTAGGTCACACTTGGCTGTGTAAAGGCTAGAGCTGCACTCTCAAACAAAAGGCCGAGCGATGCTGGGGACATCACTCGTACCAAATTCCCATGAAACTTCATGAACTCTCTTACAAATTGTCGCGCCTGGGCAGCGATGATTCGAGACGTTCATGAAGCCGGCTCATCCTCCCGTAGGAGATAGCCAAAGTAAATCAAAATCAATCATCATCATCAAATTTATCACCAAACATTATGGTTTAATTGAATAATATACGACATACACCGATCCTTCTCTATTCACAATAGAATGATTCTTTTAATCACTTATCAATCAGTAGTAAGCCACCCAATCTAGAGATGGATGCTATTCATTTTGCTTGGAAAGAAGAAATTTCACATGAGAACAAGAGGATATCACTTGATGACAAAGACTTCTTGACAAGGAAATATTTCTAGAAGAAAGTGACACATTTTTCACGCTGACTTTTAGACCATCATGTTGTCATTTCGTTCTGATTCATTTACTTCAGGATTTAGGTTTTTCCACCTAAACAGTTTACAAAACGCTTTTTTAACTCTGCTAAGGTTCTGAGTTAGTGAAACAACTAAGAGCAGCTGAATAAAAAAAAATGCAACACATCTTATGTTTTACACAGAGCAAGAACCCTAAGTACAATGAAAAGTACAAGTCGGTAAATACTGCCCTCTTGATTAGTGAGATAATACAACAGTTTACACTACACAGCAAAGAATGAATGACTCTTCTACCGGCTTCAGACATGCACTTAGTTGTGTTTTTGAATTTTTTTGGCAGTGCAGTGCAGAATGAGTGAAGCGGAATTTCTGGGAGTACTGGAGAGCCCTTTCATACTGGTTTATGACTCTTCAACCCTCCGGTTACAAGGTGAGCTCGTAAGCCACTCAACCAGTACTCCTATGTTTTTCAATGGTTCTCTAACCAATGTCAACTCGTGATCAAACCTGCAACCTATCGCGAATCCCCAACTCCTCATAAACCAACACTTGATAAAATCGAATTTTTTTTTTTTTATGTTTCACTACTATTAAGTAAGTTGACTATGAGTTAAATCTGATTTCCCCTTATTACTATAAATAATAATTGCAGTAATAATAGAACTGATAATCTCGAAACCCCTGCCACTGGTAACACTAGTACTAATACCACTTATTTTATAGAGAGTTCATCTGTTAGTTAAGCTTTATCAACTTTTTTTTTCAGACAGACAAAGGTGTTATGCTTGTAATGGCCTCAAATTAAATTATTAACACATGTGTACACAAGCATTATCTATGTTTATCGTTATGCATATGCATGCAAGTACACGCTTCATATATATATATATATATATATATATATATATATATATATATATATATATATATATATATATATATATATATATATATATATATATATATAAACATATACAAACAACTAGAATTAGTGATAATTGCAACAATAACATTAATGATAGCATAACATTTTGTCACATTTCATTTATTTACCACCGTGTATATGAGAACTCTTGAAAAATAAACATATACGTGTGCCTATAGGGGATTACCTGTGTCTTTAAGACACTAATAACAACAGGTCACTTCTCAGCGTGTAGCAAAAATTCTATTAGAATTTCTTTGTTTGAATTACTCGCATGCATAAGTAAGGTGTTAGTGTTATTTTGTAGGTGAGTCGAAAATAAAACGGAAATGAGACAGATGGTAGACAGAAGAAGAAGGAGAAGAAGAAGAGAGGGAAATCATTTATTAATATAAACAGGTTCGATTAGTGTTCATCAACTATTTTTCTTGGTCAATTAGTAGAAGTTATTGTATTATAAACATAGTGAAAGAGAAACGGAATTTACTTTTCATCACTTTAAGTATTTTGATGTAACTGATCATGGGGATGGATTGAATTTCACACTGGATATTTGATTAACTGGATGTGCATCATGACATGTAGAAGATCGTGGGAGGAGGAGATTAGTGATCATGTGCATTAGTGTGCCCAGCTGAAGAGGATGGTAGAGAATAGAAGCCCTATCTTCTACTCAGAAACCAAGGAATTAATAATACAATAATAATAAATTTGATTTTCAAGTTTGACCCCGGAATGATGTCAGTTAGAGGACCATTGGAAACCAGGGAGTACTGGACAGCTGTTTTGATCCTAGTTTGCGAAT